TATTTGAAATCAATTTTGGCTCGACTGCTTACACGTGAGTGTCAAAACGAATATCTTTTAGACGTTAACTGTTGCATTATCTCGATTTACAACTTTTCGAACAAGCCCTTCAGTGCGAATGAGTGTAAAAGAAAACAAATTACGCAAAACTTCTTGTTTTATTTATATTTGCTTTTGAAAATAAATAGACACGTGGTTTTTAGTTCTTCTCAACTATTTCAATTTCTTATAAATGGATGTCTGATATCAATTAATAGTTTCATGCAAACTTATAATATTTTTGGAGTTGTTCGTCTCCTAACTGATTAAAATTGAAGATTTTAACCAAGTGCATGTAGTACTACTATAAATTCTTTCCAAAATTAGTAAAACTATTTAGTTAGTTATGTTAAAATTGTATATAAATTGTAAAGTTATATAGTGCATGCATTTATAACGCTTTTCTAGCTGTTTTAAAAAATCTATCAAAACGTAAAAGTCAACTAACAAAGTTTCATCAAAACGTGAAAAACAACTTAAAGAACGATATCAAATCGTCTTAACAACTAAAAGAGCAATTTTAAAAAAAAACGTATTATAAACGAAAGGAGCTTAACAACTAATAGAACTATATCAAAAAGTATTTACAACTAACAGAGCAATATCAAAAAGTAAAAACAAAACATGAGAATTAAGTTGGATTTGGTTTTTCCCCTTTATCTCGGATTCTGGTTTTGACGGTTTTATACTGCAGTCTAGACCAAATACAATATAATGTCATAAGACTGGAACATATCCAAGTATATTATAAAATGAACTCTTAGAATTTGCAATAAATTCTGAAGATTCACTTACTGTAAGAGAGGTAAATTTAAAAGTTATGAAATCAGTGTTTGATATATCATGCATTTGTCACTATTTTGTGATATATGGATTACTGAAACAGTTTGATTATATTGTTGTCGAAAATATGTACGTGAGTTATTATCAAAATATAGATATTATCTAGGTAGAAGTAGGTGTGAAAGTTGCATACAATTATGTAACAAGTAGATGTTAACAATTAATGAAATTACATTCATAATATAGTTTTGACATGCAAAGCAGGAACACAAATCCTTGTCGAGCTTCATATTTATTAATGTTATATGATAAAACTATTAAAATTCTATTTTTTTGATGATGTTGATGATGTGAAGAAGATGTTGTTCATTTAAGAACATTTTAAATAAACATTATACGTATCAAATGCAAGCATAAAATGTTCCTCAGACAAGTTAATCAATATCTGTTTAAAAAGAAAATACTATATTTCATGTTGACAGATTCACTTTATGCATATATATCAGTATATACAGTTACAAGCAGTATATTGACGTCAATATACCCTTTTTATGTATTCTGATATGTTTGATTTTGGTACATGCAAAGCATGCAGATAACATTTAATTTAGTTTTTCCATGTACAAAAAGTCGTGTCTGCAATTTTCATGTACTTTTTGTTGTGATCAATGCTTCCGAGGGAACACCCTTTCTCTAGGTCTTTTTACATCAAAACAGAAGGTGTCTAGTGCCGTGTGTCTGCTTCAAAAAGTTGTACTTCAACGTACTTCTTTCTCTTCAGTGTTGCTATATTTTTCTGGTCCTTCGGAATCATTGCTTCCAGCACTTTTAAGTGATGAACTTTTTCATAATCCATCTTGTACAGACTCAGTCAAACAGAGTCTGCAATGTTCATGTAATTTTGTTGGGATTGATGCTTCCGAGGGATCACCCTTTCTCCATATATTTTAATTTTTAAATACTTTGAAACGAAGAATTCGTTCCTTCAGTGTTGCTTCCCGTTTTTGACAATCATCTTTTCGTGTTGAACAGAATTAAGTTCAACTGTTTAAAGCTACAAGCACTGCTAAGGTAAATGTGTCTTATTTTGAAAGCATTAAAGACAACAAATCATTTGATTTATTCTGTGCATTCAAGGCGATTAGTAGTTTTTATATATTTATGAACAGAAAAAAAGAAGCAATAAAACAATTATAACCTGTCTGGTAGGCCTGGGAGGCCAAGATTTGTTCACAGTTTACTGGAAATGTGAGACCATGTTACTCCTCGCTCGAGTAAACATTGACACTATATAGAAAGATAATATAGAATGTTGACACATTTGGTCGTTTAGATTACTCAACATGGCCCTCCTGTCAATGATAAACAGTAAAAGACTGAGGGCCAATGCATTATTTGTGTAACGGATATTGGGGGCAGTAGTGATAAAACCACTGCTATCATGAAAGAATATGATAGTTGAGCAGAGTTCGATCACAGTAAATCTTAAAAACAGAAGTAGACAAAAATAGGGATAAAAGAAAACATAAACATTATTTCCACGATTAGTACTACTGTAACCTTAAGTAACCTAAGCACTTTTTGTTTTAATGATATACTTCAAATTCATTACATCATCAAATATAAATAGTGTAAAAGCGTGTTGTTTAAAGTACATTTCCTTTGCTATTAAGCCATTTGTCTGGTGCCTAGATATTTTCTCTTAACACTCATTTTCTCTATTTCTTCTTTTGATTTTAACAGCATAGCTCGAATAATGAACTTACGTGGAATCATACGAAACGAAATGCTCTAATCAGACGGATGATAATTGGTTTGAGAAAATGCCATATTCTACAAATAATTTCCTGAACGCAGACATACTCGTATTAAGATGGCAACGATAATTAAGACGAATCATTCGTATTCAGTCAACAAAAACGGCTAAATAGCTCTGAACAACGCCAATTACATATAGTAAATATAGTTGGATTACTCACTCTCGTAGATAAAAACGTCAATTGTTATAAGTCAGAGCTGATTTAGTGTATCCCTGACAATCACACTTCATTCCTTGTCAATTATGAGCGAAATCGTATGATTGGGAAAAAGAGAAAGCTTTGTCAAAACAACAGACAACAAATTCCGGTTGTATAAAATGTAATGTTTTCTAGCGGATATAAAGTTTCTATGGCATTTCGTGTGATGTCTTCCATTATCTATATCTAAAAAAACAACGGACAAATGAATAAAATGGTTTCCATTTTAAGACAATATATATTCTCAAGGTATCTGTAGATGAATAGTTTTTGTTTTCAAATCACTTTAAATTTTTGATATATATGTACAAAGTGGTATATGTGTGTGCATCGTCTAGATTTGTGTCACGATGAACCGGAGTAAATTTCGTTCTGTCATTTTCACTAGACCTTTTCTTAATTGGTTATTTTCATCCGTGTTGTTAAATCACCTTGTTTTACATCTTTTAGTTAACCATTCTGACACTGCATATTTAAGATATCGACTCCAAACCATCATCATTTTTATTTTTAAATTCCATAAGGCCACATGGCCTTTGAAGATGTGTCATACAATGAATTATGACAAATCAATGTACAAATAAATATACAAACATAATTGATACAACAGATGAGTTTTAAAATTAATTGCCTTATACATATAACATCTGCTTTTGTGTGGTGTGACTTTTACTGCCTTATTTTTAATGGCAACTTATTCTTTAAAAACTGAATCATACAGGTTTTTTATGAATTGTAAAATGTATGTCTGACGTATATTGCTCTTACATGTAGTTTTGTTGAAATACAAACTATGTATATGTGGAAAAAGGTATTTATTACTATGTGTGTACAAGAAATGAGTACACTTTGATATAAAATTATCATAGTTCAATTGATTTGAAATTGAAGAATATGACATAAAATGAAATGAAAATGCCGCACATACTTACTTATACTAAGTTATATCAATATATCAGTGAAAGACAGATATGTGGCAAATTGAGGTTATTTACGACGTATTGCTATATTGTATATGTATTGATAAATTCTTAAAATTAGGATACATGTCATAATTGAAATTATATTTTACAGATATATCATTTAGGTTGTAGGTCGCATTGTTTATCTGTTTACAGAATGGATTTATTTCAATAAAAACATTTACGTTTGTCAAATCATGATGATACCGCAATTTAAAAAAAACGATGTGCTATTGATTAAATTTTGAGTTTTATATCTGAAATGAATGTTTTAATTTTGTTTGTATCAAGAGACACTTAAAGACATCCGGATTGTTATTCTTGTGCATAAGCCGAGCATTTTTAACTTTTTCTGTTTATATTTCAAATCATAGCAATAATTGAATTTATTAATTACTAAGTTGTGGGGGGGGGGGGCTTAATTAGGAAAAATCCAACCCATTGTAGATAGAAAGATAATTAGTGTTACCAGTGGTATAACTTGTGTTTTCTGGGGTTGGCTGCATTCAAATTTTTTATTTAAATTGGCAAAAATATTTTTAAATAAACGTTTTTAAATAATGAATAAGTAGCACCATATTTTTCTTTTGACAAAAATTGTACGTATAGAAAATTGATTAAATACCATGTAACTATTATTTACCATATGAATTTTGAAAAATTAATTTAATAGATAATTATAACTACAGATATTTCAGAGTATCAAAAAAATTCGAAAATATTAAATTTCCAAAATATAATTTCTTACCAGCTTTTTCAAAATGATGACTCAATTAACTTATTTAATTACAAGTCAAAGTTAAACTGTCTCCGAACAGCTACTCTTGAAAATTCTGTCATAATAAAAGATAAATAAATAACCAATTAAACTTTGCAAGATATTAGTTCTGTATAATTTGATTTCATTAAAAATAATATTAGACTATCGTCTATTCTAAATGAACTTCAAACGAGTTTAAATAAATCCTTTTCATACATTTATAATAAAGACTAGTTACTTTATACAAACTTTCAACCTTTTTAAACCTGATTAAAACACTTGACTGTGCTCGCATTTTACAAAACAGGAGAACGCGGATTACCGTCTATTCCAAAATTTATTTAATACTGCATTTCTTTTTTTCCTTTTATTAAGCTTTTACATTCATTTATATTCTACGGACTTTCGTTTCACCTTTTGTAACTTTTTAACTTTCAGAAAAAGCAAATTGGAAAATTAATTGAAAAAGAGCGAAGGACTTCATATGATGAATGTGGGTAACAGTTTACAAGTGGGTGGAGAGAGCGGAATATAGGTGTAGCGTTGGAATAATGAGCGACAGGTAGACAAGGGCTACGTGATGACTTCATATATGATACAGGTACCGTTGTTTGGACACTCTAGAGTAGGTGGAGTCTATTTGACGTGTGTGACCAAATAACTGTAGTATAGAGGTGCCTATCAATCGATCCACGTTCGTTTAACCTGAGTCCTTAGCGAATATATACATACATATCATAGAAAAGGGAGGATGTCTAAGTATTTTTAGTGTAAAAGATATTGAACTATTGACTAGTGATTCTTATGAAATAAAAGGTGGAAATTGTCAAAGCTTACGTCAGGAGATAGTTGACTGATATTTGTCAGGACTTAAGACAAAATAACGATGACGACACCCTGGCGAGATTTGGGCCAATCATTTAAATCAGAGGTTCGAGGAATTATCGCAGATAGTTATACTTGAATTGTGAAAGATTGTGAAAGCGAGAGAGAAATATATAAATATTATTGCTTAATTTACAAATTGTTCGCAAGTATTGTATTAGAAATTATTTAAATAATGTCTTCAGAGACATTGGGTTATTTTTAAGGAATATCTTTGTAACGTGAATACAATATTACCAGAAAATATAGAAATAATTTTAATAAAATAAGTTTATAAATAATACGCGAATTTACATTTTAAACTGTTCTAAATTATTGCTTATTTTAACAGAATAGAAATAAAAAATCATAAAATATTATCTGTAAAAAATAAACAACATGAAAGCTTAATGAAGAACTGGAATATGAGTTTTATAACATAAAGCTGATTTCTCATAAATGACAGGAGTTATAAAATTAAAAGAAGTCAATGTTTAAATGTTAAGTGCACCGTTCATAAATCTGACAAAATCGTTTATACCTTGCGACTGACGTTCCTGATTTATTCCTATCGGAATGTTTTCATCGAGAACTATACGCTGTATTCAATCTATAGCGATTGTGTTATTAATATTTACTGGATATACACGACCATGTGGCCCGGACGTTAGGGTTGGAAGAAGGCGAAATCGTACAAAGAAAGCGACACCGTTTGTTTACAAGCAACACGTACCTAGTGTGTCAGAGTTTGCATACGGTGCCAGTGAGCCGGCGGACGGTGCCATACATAGAGATGACCCTAGATTCCAGGATCTTGTTGAGAACCATAATACCGACATAATATTCCGAGATGAGGAAAGAGACGGCTCGGATCGGATTATGACCCAGGTAACTTATTCCATTTTATTTAATATATATGTTTTTATTCATGAAAATGATACAACTGTCATGGGTTTATGTTCTCGAGGTAAAAAGTACTTAGGCAAGAACATGTTGATCATATTTCATTATAAAAATCTAGTTCATATTAAGCAATTTTTTATTTTACCACTTCTTAAACGATTCCACTAGTAAAAACAGTTATTTATCAAAGAGTTAAGTAAATAAAAATGTAAATAGAGAGATTTTATTGTATTATTCATAGTATACATTGAACGATGTCAAATTTGACAAGTACAACATCTGGCATGAGACATGTAGGGAGCATGCAAATACATTCTTCAAATTTTATTGTCAGATTCTAAAAATGTTAAAATAGAAAGATTCAAACGGTAAAGAATTCTCCAAATAAACGTTACAAAAATGCTTAAGAATCAAACCACACAAACCGTTTTACAAATATTTCTAATTCACACTTTGATGTATTGAAAAACAAATAATTACCATGTCTGATGAAAAGAACGAAAACAAAGCTTCATTGCGTTTGCTAACGAGTACTACAGCAATTACGAAAATCTAGATGCTAATTAAGGATAAGAAATCGGAAAGTTAGCGGAAGATATGTTATAAGATAAACTAGTGTTAAAATACCACCCGCATACTTTTTTCTCTGTTCACTCCACTGGTTTATCACTCTAAATCTAGTGTATACCACGTTCAAGAAGCAAAATGATGGCTGTAAACATATTTTGTAACGACATGCTTTTTTATACATAGTTACTTTTGAAAAAATCTTTAACCGCAATCATTTTTCATACGAGAAATTTACTATCCCCTGTTCCCTTATGTCTTTCAACTGGTATCAATAGAACTAAGTTGAACTACTACGCAAATTCTTTAATTGAACAATATTCTTTTATACGTAATAGAGAGCCCACTTATAAAAGGATTCAATTAAGATAACCTAAAAATCTGCGTAGAAGATTCAGCAAACAAACATGTTTCAGAGTTTATTAGAATATTTACCGTCTCTAATCCGAATCATAAGTGCAGAGAAAATAAGAAAATTATTACAATAATTATAATACATACAAAGCCAATATTCCCGTCATTCAAGAATAGAGCTGCGTCTGAGATAACGTCCAAATAACACAACGAAATCTGTAAAACGTTTCGTTTGCGCTGGAAACGCTTAACACATCTTATAAAAATTATATAGCTCATCAATTGAAAATGACTTCAAAGAATGTCTGGAAAATAACATTACTAAAATAAAAAAGTTAGATAAAGGTGTGTATACCATAACCATGTATCACTTACAGGAAATAGACAAAAACAAACATAAACTAGGCTAATATTTAATATGAGTAAGGTAACCCTTATAAGCAAAACTTTGAGTAAAGATCATGTATGAGGCATTTTTTTTATTTAAAGTTAAATCCCCATCATAACTGAAATGAAGCCTTACTAGGGAAGTGTTTAAGATACCAATTCTTTCGTGTACAAAGCAAAAAGGAACCTTAAGCGTGTACATGTACCCAATTGACATTTGGATCTAGAGAATCGGGAACTTTTTTACACATACTTGTCAATGTAGCTTTCTGACAAGCGTTAAATGCCTTTAGACAGATAAATAGATAGACGGTATTTTAAGTGGAATTTCCCAATTTTACATACTCTGAAAAATCAGGGAAAAAGTTGATAGTGTGTGTGTAACGTAACACGCTTTTACTTGGCATAAAATTTACAGCACTTAAACACATGCTCTTGGAAATTGTGAATTAATAAGATGCTGAAACCACTATATTCTTAAAAATGAAAACACCTTTGTATAACATACTTTCGTTAATTTTTGTATATCAATCTACATAATGAAAAAAATGACCTTTTATGCTATTTTTATCATTTTATCATTCAAAGAATATTACTTCTTTTCAAAGTATTCTCTGGTGGTAGGTTCAAATGAAAAGTTGTGATTATGAATAAATCATTCTAGCTTTTAGATATAGGGCATTTGATATCTAAATATATTTCAATGCAAGTGAGAAAATGTCCATAACGATATTTGTATCGCCATGATAACATGGGTAAAGATATGTCGATCTTGAACAATACGTTTAACAAATGTAAAAATTTATACTGTATCATAGTGAAAGTTTAATTGTCGCATTAATGCGGTTAAAACCATATCAGAAACATCTTAAGATACGACGACAATCGAGGGTAACAAGCGTAAAATAGTGGGCAAGTGTAAAGTGTTTTAAGGTCAGGGCTTTTTATTCTCAAGTTTGTGGACAATAAATGTCCATTGTTCTGTTAAAATCTTGCATTTGCGTGTTAAAGTTCAAGCGGACAAATTTGTAAATACAATCATATGAAATAATAGCGTATTTAGACTTCAACAATTAAAATTAAAATTACAAAGCAATAAATATTTAACTTAGACCTATAATCAATCAATTAATCAATCAAAAAATAGTTGTGATTCGTTTCTAAAATGATTGTGATTGGTTTTGTATATACATATGATAATTATATCAAAACAAGTCTTTTAAATATCTTTTTTACTCATATCTTAAGATAACCCTTTTTACACATATTTTCTTGGGGAAAAACTACAACTGAATGATGTAATATAAGTCTTGCAATACAATCCAACAAAATAATAGAAAACACTAGAACTGAATAAAAATATTTAAATCAGTAATAATAGTCCAACAAACATTAGATTGTGCAGACATATTTAGGGGTTTTCATAGTTAAAGCTTTATGCTAAAATATGTTTTAATCTTTAATATATTTAGTTGATATGTAATTTAATTTATTTGGTAAGTGATTTTAAAAGTGCAGAAATATCGGTGGAAAAGGTAACTAATACATATATATTCTTAAGATTATACCTTTAACATCAAATAAGGGATACTTTATGTAACATTGGAATAATGACAAAAGAAGTAACTTAAAGTTCTATTATATTTGTGTTATGTTTCTATTCCAAAATTATTTTCATTTCTTTCATTTCATGTAAAATTTTGTGATGAAAGATTCAGTTTGCCGGGAAATTACTTTACTGATCAAAATTTGCATTATAAATACTGATATAATTTTGACAACTGCAAATCAATTATATTTACATTGCTGCTGTTATTTGTAAACTATAGTTTGTTAATTAGTGTACATCTGTTCCGTTCAAATTTTCTGACCAACTAAACAGTGAAAAAAGAATCTAAAACCCAATTGTTAATTTGATACATTACAATATATAATTATGTTAAAATAAATCAGGCAAGTATGCCTTCTTATTTTTGTCAAAGATCTTTATACATTGTATTTTGCTCCATGATTTAAAGTACACAGTATTGTCAAATACATTGTAGAGGTACACATATTATGTAAATATTGTAATTATAATAACAATATTAATATAAAAGCTGACTGCACTTTTCTTGACATAATATCATCATTTTGAAACCCTAATCTCTTTCTAGCAATTTTACAGGGAAGCTTCCTTATTCCAAATATTATAAAACTACCGTATTAAGATTATATCAAAAGCTTCTTAAATAATAACAGAAAGAATGAGTCATAAGAAAATGGCGACGTTTTAAAAGGCTAGGGATAGAAAGATAAGATAGTAAATACTATCACTTTTCTTGTAAGACAAATAACAGGAAGATTTATAGGAAAATGACACCATTAACCATACAATCTGTGAAAAAAGAAGCACATGGGACACCAAATAACAAGTTAAACGAGATGAAAATCGTATTATCCATTTAGGCAAATGTTCTGGTCTAGACACGTTCTCTGATATTCCAAGGAATCTATGAGCTATGACATGCCATGCCGTGACATTGATAAATCTGATATATTCGTAAGAGGGAATACGAGAAGGACCTTTCTAGTAAATTTGACCTGTGTTACGAAACCTTGATATGTCCTATATTGATCGTGCATTTGCAAGAGCACTTCTAGAAAATCAAATCATATCGAATTGTCTCAAGATTTAATAGACTAGACAGTGAAATTTGCTGCAGTTTTCTTATATTAGAATTTGCTTATATATACAGAAAAATTGAATCAATTTCTTATTTTTAATTTCGTGTTTTAGACACTACAAACAGCGAGCTTTCTTGCAGCGCCAATTTTTTTAACACGTGAAAACCCTTATTGGAGTAGCCATGGGTCAGGGATTTATTTAAAAAAAAATTTTACAGACGTATCAGTGTCCAATTAGCCATTTTCTTACGTAGTTTAAAAAAATGGCGATTAGATTCGTAGATTTCAATCAATAAGTATATTTCCATTGATAGCAACTGCAACGTATTTTAACACTCTTACAAGACATGAAATTTATAAAATTGCAACATAACGTTTTTAAATAAGTTTTCTTGGAGAAGCAATTACTATCAAATAAAACATATTCTAACACCTTTTATCCGTTATTATTTAAATTATTCTTTTCTAAGTAAGGAATGTGATATGAGGAGTAAAGCACTCCCTAAAATAATTTCTGTCTAAACATTAATGCAATAATTGTGTTAGTATAAACAAGCCTTCAAAGTTCACTATAATGCTTCTTTCCGAGGTATGATAAATTCTCAGTCTATATATGTATGGTGCACACAATTGTTCGCCTTTTACTATATGAATATTGCAACAAACTTGACAATGAAATACTATCAAAAGCAAATGTATTAACAAATATGATCAAAACTTGTTCTTTGTCAATGTTAAATGTGGCCAATAAACTGTTTTACTGCAGTAGACTATTGTAATGACGAGCTTTGTTTGGCCAAACAGTGGTCAAATGATCACTCTCAACATTTTCTCTTGCGAAGACAGTCACCTTTATTAGCGTCCGTCACGGAGGCAACGGATTGTAATTTCCTCTGTTTGTTTTGATTGTCCAGTCGTTTCCATTATTCCTGATATTGTGGCATCCTCATTAATAACAAACAAATAGATTTGATAGATGAACTTTGATAAATGTACCATTAGTAAAATGA